CCCCCCCCCCCCCCGAGCCACCAAGTCACATGCTCACTTCTTGTCTTTTTTTTTTTGTGCGTGTTTTTAGATGACCCGACCGCCATGGAACCCAACGTCCAGAGGAGCATTGGAAATTCGGGAACGAGGCCCATCTCCTTCTCCTTCCTCTTGACGCTCCTCCCGGTTTTGTTTGTGACGATACTACACTGAAAAAGAGAACTGCAAAGCAGCCCAGTGCTGGTCACTGGGGTCACGGACACGAATTTTTTTTTTGTTTTGTTGTTTTTTATAATGAATACAGAGCTTTTATACAAAGACAAAGCTGTGAGTGAATGTGTATCGCAATGTGAATGTGGAGTGTGGATCACTCCAAAGGACGTCCGTATTGTTTGTGTTTGTGTTTTGTTTTTGGTTTCTTTTGTATTATGATGAGGATGAAGCAGCATTTTCCGTTCTGAGCAATTAGTCTAATGGGTTTTTCATACCACTCAGTAGGTACACCTCCAGTTCCTGAGTCAGCCACTACGACCGTGGCGCTTGTTATTTGGGATCTTTTTTTTTTTTTTTTTGGGCCGTCATTATGTAGCACTCATCTCCGCAAGCCTCAAGACAGCATCCCACTGTTCACGACATCAAGTCATTTGTTTTTATACTTTGACCATTGTTCAATCATGTTTGTAATGAACATCTTTTAAATTGTTCCTTTCGTTGCTTTTTCTCCATTCTTTTTACACCGTGCGCCCCCTCCCCCCAAAAGCAAATAGTGAGGGCTCCAAGTACCACCATAATACCACCAACATTAATTATACAGTGGTGCAGTAAGCCTTAAGTGTTCATGAAAGTAAGAGGCTAATATTGCAAATCCTTGTAACATGATGCGCATTTAATATTGGAAAAAAACTGAACTAAAAGTTGTACTTGGGCGGTGATTCTTTCACCGCACATCCAAAATCGGCTAAAAATATGGAAACATTTTACATATCTGTCCTTGGTAAATGGTCACGAGTCCTTGTGAACCCCAAATGGTTAAATCATCCAACATTAAGTGCAATGATGTTTAATCAGTCTTGTCATGGTACACGCTTGCAGATGCGACCCACCCACCCCTAACCCCCACCCAACTTGTCGAACCTCAAACTGAAGGGACTTCTTGAAAACATACACTGTACAGTTGTTTTCTATGTGTTTATATGTACATGTGTACATAGAAAAAAATATAAGATATTGTTTAAAGATGTGAACATTTGATGGAATAAACAAAAGTGTTGTAATATAAATCTTGTCGTCTTTTTTTCTTTTTCCTCACTCCATTTTGGCAAATGGCTAAGCTATTCCCCCCCCCCCCAAAAAAAAACGTTCCAAGCCCGCCCACAGGTCTTTCCCAACCTCTCACGGCCTCGGCTTTCCACGACTTTCATCCCGTGTCCCGCAGTTTGCTCTGGCTTCCCTTTCACAGACTGCAAACCAAACACGGATGGTTGGGGGGTGCACACTAGCAAGCGGGTGCGAAGGTATCACCCTCGCCTCTTCACTTGCACCTTTTTTTTTCCCTTGGCCTTTTCTGCCTCTTTCTTTTTACTGCTCCATACATCCTCTCTGCAGGCAAAAGAGGACGTGCCCACACGTTGGAATGAGAGCGACACGGCAAACAAGCCGTCAAAAACCTCAGAAATGGCTGGAAACTGTCAAAAGTTGCTATCCTCTGTAAAACTGAGCAAGATATTCTGTAAATCCCAGAACAGAACATAAGGACCACTTGTTTGCTTTTCCACCATGACGTCATACCTGCTTTATACATACAGTACTCGCCAGAGATGAGCTCAGACTCTCTGATATTGTGCAATCTAACAAACCCGAGTCCACGCAATAAGTCAAATAAGATAATAAAACCAAGAGACCAAAGGGAAAGCAATAGTGAAATGTCAAGTAAAATGTCAAAAATCGAAGCATAGACAGGAAGGGAGATGAAATTATACGTGAAGGGCTACCGTAAAGGTCAAACTTGAGAGTTGTTCAAGAGTGTTGTCAGCGTGACGAGAATGTTCTACAAAACTCGTTTCGTCAGCTGATAATGTCTTCATTTATTTGATACTAAGACAAGACCCTTGTCTTGAATACTGTAGAACGTATCAATAAAATGAACTTCAATTAAAATGCACCACTATAATAAATATCAGTGAAATAAATACTACTCTGACTGCGTTGATCAAAACTGCAGTCTGATATCACATAAAATAAATAGATATCTAATGAATCTGTCCGGTAAACGGGTGAACTAAAAATATATTTAAACCTCCTGATTTAAGCAAAGAATGTTTGACAATACTTGAATAGTTATTTTAACTGTGTTGTATATTTTCAGACAAGTTATTTTAACGGTGTTATATATATTTCTAAAGTTACAGAAAACGCAACTTCCTTGACCAAATTTTTTTTTTAAATAATCTTTATTGAACAAGTCAGAATACAATTCTCAGTAAACAGAAAACAAAACGAACATGTTATTAATACATACATATATTACAAACGTTTAAACAAAAAAGAAGCCAGGGGATAACTTCCTTGACCAAATCAAAGTTCAACCTCCCGGCTTTGTCGACATGGTGACGTCAGACGCTTCGATTCTACACCCCATTGAACCAACTCTTCATCACGTGATTCGGTGAACACCCAATCGCAGCGCAGAATCACCGAGCAACTGCTTGCAAACACGGAACTCTATCCGGAAAAGAAGCCAGTTACATTTTTTTAAAAGTCTGCTTTTTAAGACTTGTAAAAGTCGAAGAACATACATTATAGTCTCCATACCTAACATATGTATTTTTTTATTTTAAATCCTTTTTATGGATTTGCTGTATCTTTTATCATGGGCGTGCATCGTGTTCACACTCGGGATGTTCTCGACTGGTCTGTAAGTGGAATTCAGTTTTGGCGGCGTGGCAAACTTTAAACCCGCTTCTATACAAATGAACATTTTGTGCAAATGTTTATTTTTTTTATCATTGTGTCTGAGAAGTGAAGTACAATATCTTCAATTCGCGGAAATAAATGTGCTGTAAACTCGTTGCACGGTAGCTGTCAGTTTCAGTGTATAATATTTACGAGATTAATGATGGCATGAGTTCCTTGTCAGGTTGACTGTCTTGATCTTTGTGTTTGTTTGTGCAGGGTCGATCTAAAGAAAATGCAAACATCCAAGAGCACGGACAACATTCAATTTCTGCCTTTCCTCACCACATGTGCCAAGTATGTGTTGTTTGAGGCGTTTGCTAACCAAAACAGGAGTTGCAGTTGAATTAAAGTGTGGGTGTGGAGACTTGCATGTTTCAAATGAGTACTCCACGCAACATTTAAAAATGATGCTACTTTTTGTGAAGACGATCAGCAACATCGTGTCCTTCTGTGTTCCAAACAGCTGATTAGTTCACAAATGCCAAGGTCACAAATCCGTCGCAGCACATTTTGTGTAATTTTGTCTAGCAAGTGACCCAAAAAGTTTTGATTAGATTCGAAAGTTTTAAAAAGTCACACACTGACAGGGTAAAAAAAACAATCAATGTGAAACAAAGTCCCTTATATTAAAGTCTTTCACCCCAGATGGTGTTATTATCCCAGAATAATCAAAATCATGTGTTTTCATTCTTTAAATTGGAAAAAAAAATCTGCCATCAACCATCGACAAACTTTATATTAAAGGCCTTCACAAATCCTTTTCTGAAGTTTTTCTTCTTTTTTTTTTTTTTTTTTGCTTCTTTGCTTGCAGTCTACGTGACAATCACAGACACAGGTCACAAAAAAAAAGGCAACAGAGCTTAAATGTCATAACACAGTCTGACATGGCTGACATTACAAGTGTACTTGTTTGTTCCCTCGCCTTGCCCCGTTCATCCTTTTCCATCGTTTTTGTTTCCACAGTAACCTCGGATGGTTATATTATGGGATGCTGAAGACAGATCAGACACTTATTGTGGTCAATCTCATCGGGGCTTTACTGCAGGCCCTCTACATCGTGGTTTACTTCAAGTACACAAAACAAAAGGTCAGCATAGCAGCCGTCATTAAGTTTGTGTGCGTCTACATTGAGGCTTGAACCTGTGTTTTGTTTTGTTTTGTCAGAGAAAGATCCTATTCCAAATAGTTGCCATCGGAGCAGTGGTGACCAGCGCCGGGGTGTACTTCATGTTGTTTCTTCCTCCAGGTGACATTCAGCTCAACCAGCTGGGACTCGTTTGCAGCATGGCCACTGTGGGCGTGTACATGTCCCCGCTCGCGGACCTGGTAAGATAAACTTGTCCTTAAATGAAGTAATGTCCAAATGTGACATCTGGACTTTGTCTTGTTGCTGAAAAAGACACTTGATAAATTCATATTGGATCGTATGCTTTATTCTAACGTTGACCAATCAGGTGCAACCTTAAACGTGCATTGCCATCCAATAGGAGAACAGTCAATGAGATAAGAATGCATTCATTATTTTTCGCCATGAGAAAAAAAAATGCATCTCTTTCATTCGATAATACAGATGCCATTTGTTTCCAGTACATGTTCAATATCGCAATAATAAATATGCAACACCCATATCGCATCGTGCATGATTTTCCAAGATCGTGCTGCCCTCCTTTAAATATAGCCGAGTTATCATCGTGTATGGCATCTTTGAGTATCATTTCAGTATCTCGAGGATGGGCCGAGTTACCTTATTTTTTTTTTTATTTTTGGGGGGGTAAATCAAAATATAGTCACCCTATGCTGGAGAAAAGAAAGAAAAGGTCAAATTCAGAATCAGCGCAAAAAAAAAACAAAACACATCTCAATCTCTGATTTAAAAAATGTAAACATAAGTTTTCTAGTGTTATTCGTACAAGTCTTCCTGTGACAGTTCTGATGATGCGGGTCAGAAATTGAGATATGAATCGAGTCGTAACCTTGGTGTGTCATTCTGCCGGCGGTCTTCCTGTATGCCGTTCATATTTACTTTCGTTGGACTTTGCTCACGATTGTCGCTTGCGGTGCAGTTGTCCAGCTCAATACTGTCAGATATTGTTGGCTCAGTGCTCCCATACGTGTATGTTTACGTAGAAGAGAACAGTCAGGTGTCACGGGGGCCCATCAGATGTCTTCTTTCCTGTTGTGTTTGTCTATGATCCTGTTTGTCGCCTTCCCTCCATCTGCCTCGCCGTCATTAGTAAGCGTTCTTTCAGTGGTTCTTCATCCTTGGAACAGTGTCCCAATCGTCCTTGACCCACTAAAAGTCTTATTTCAAATATCCAAACTTGGACTATTTTAAAATAATGAATGACTAGATAGTGTTTTGTATTTGGTGCTAAAAGGAATGTGAATAATAATAAGTAATGATAATCAAAATAATTTGTCATCTGCTCAAACACCTTTATTAACAGTCCAGACCCCGGTTTGAGGAACATTTTAACATTCACATTTTTTTTAAAGGACTATTATTGTAGTATTATTATACACAGTTCTGATGAATACATATTTAAAAAAAAATAATTCCAGTAATATTATGTCTTTTTTTTTCCTCAATGCCAAGTGATTAAATGAATTTAATTTTCGATTTTTCTCAAAATGAAAATAATTTGTCATCTGCTCAAACACCTTTATGAACAGTCCAGACCCCGGAACATTTTAACATTCACAATTTTTTTTAAAGGCCTATTATTGTAGTATTATTATACACAGTTTTGATGAATACATAATATTAAAAAATAATAATTCCAGTAATATTATGTCTTTATTTTCCTCAATGCCAAGTGATTAAATAAATGTAATTTTCGATTTTTCTCAAAAATTGGAAATATAGTCGTAGAAATGACAACAGTTGTTCCCAAATTACTTTTTTTAAAACCTGACTTCATTTTCACAAGATCGGGTTTTTCCAAAAGAAACCTCACTGTAATCTTAAAAAACAAAAACAAAACCAAAAAAAAAAAAAAAACTACATTTGTTGCAAAAAATGACCAAAATCCAACTTTTGTCTGAACTAAACGCAGTTCGAATTTATGTATGACTTTTGTTCTCGGAAGATTAACATTTCTTTCTTTAAAATAAAAATCTACTTTCTTACGATGGCAAATTTTTGATTATTATTGATTATTTTTTGAAAAATTGTTTTTTCAACAAACAAAAATGTGGTGGATCCGCTTCCGCTCATTCGTTTAGCAAAAAATCTGAGTATCCTTGACCATCTCTGAAATAGATTGAAAACATTTTTTTAACCCCAAAATGTCTTCAAAAAACACCGATAAGCCTTCAACAGTTTTCCAGGAAAAACTGGAGTTCCGGGAGCTCCCACAACGCCCCCAAAAAAAAACCCTCAACAACTGAAATGACTTCATGTCTGGTTACTCTTAAAGTCTTACTCCTTTGAGTCTGCCAACGCTTCACGGAACCTGTTCACGCTTGTTGAACTCGTTTCAAGTCTTCTGCGAGCTGCCTTTTGTCGAGGCTTTTCCTCGTGTTGCAATACGCGTCGCCGACGGTATTTTTGTTTGGTCCTCACGTTCAGATGGCCATCGTGCAAAGTGGCAACGTGCAGTGCTTGTCCTTCCCTCTGACGGTGGCCACTTTCCTCACTTCCACTTCCTGGTTCTTCTACGGCCTCCAGCTGAATGACTACTACATCCTGGTACGACACACTCGCAGCAACATTTATTCCCACTGCGGTGGTCCCAATGGCGTAATCGGTTGAAGTTGTTCCTTGAACACAAAAGTGAAAGTTGGTCCACCGCAGTACTAACATAATTGTTTTTAATATTATTATTATTATTATTATTATTATTATTATTATTATTATTATGTGTGTGCATTTTAGGTTCCGAACCTTCCCGGAATCCTCACTAGCGTCATCAGATTTTACTTGTTTTGGAGATTTGCCCACATCAGCCCTCCCTATAAGTCCATGCAGATATAACCACGATATGCACAGTAATGGACGTTGCACCAAGAGAAAGCGGCGCCCGCCGCGCGACAGGTTGGCAATAATGTCTACATTCCACAAACGTATCCGAAAAGTATACAAAGAGTGTTTGATTTTCAAGGATGTATTCAAAAATTATTTTGGGGAAGAAAAAAATGTTTAATTTGTCCCCTTCAAGTGCCTTGTGATGGAATCCGAGTGAGTATTCAGGGACATGCTGAAGAGAAAGATAGTAAACAGAAAAGAAATCAAAAAAGTCGTTTTTTAAGGGGAAAAATATGGTATCGTATTCATGGCAATAAGATAAATATGTTGAGAGAAAAGTCGCATTCTGATGAGAATATATTACGAGAATAGAGTCGGAATGCTTTTCAGAATATTTTTCAAAGAAGTTGGAATCTTACTCGATGTCAAATGAGAAAAAAAGTTTTTTTTCTCCCCCTACCCCCAAAAAGACAAGAAAAGAAATGCTCCCCCCCCCCCTGAGATTTTTATATTTCTCATAAGTTTACCATATTTTTCTTCCCCTGAAGCGCACTTGAAATCCTTCAAAATGGCCATTGCGGCTTACGGATGGAAGTCGACTTTTACAAGTTCATGATTTGGAATTCAAATTCCATCCCTGTTATGTTTGTATTCTCATTCTCATTCTCATGCGCATCTAATGAGAGCAGGCGTCCGCCTTTTCGGCAGACCAGAATGAGAACTACTTCCTGCTTCAGTGTCTAAGAATCATGGAAAATGTAGTTCTGCTAGCGTCACGCGACGGTCACGGTCAGACCGAATGCAGGCTGAGAGAGAAGTTCCGGTAGCGCGTTTTCCACCGCGCGAGGTGAACGACACAAGCAACTTCCGGCGCTACGAGATGTTTCTTGTGCGGTCTGAACCTCTCATAAAAGCGCTAAATCTATCAAATAAACCTGTGGTGCAATTAGAATCAAGTCTTCGACAAACAATGCTTCACAAAGATAACCCGGACGCGCCTTATGTATGAAAATGTATTCATACAGACCCATTCATTGATACTGTGCCTACAAATACGGTGCGCCTAATGGTACAAAAAATACGGTATGGACCCCCCCAATCCCGTTTTTGTTTGTCGAAAGAAAATCTGACGTGTGTAAGATTTAGCGTTTAAAAAACATAATAAAGACTTGTATCAGGAAACTGTTATTCTTGTTTAGATTACAGTTCATTTTCCCGCCCCCAAAATACCAAACTTTTGTTTCCTTCAGAATGACTTCGTTGAACATTCAGCGTTTTTTTTTTTCCTTTTAGTGACTTTATTCTCCTAAGAGTGCAACTTTATGTTTTGAGAAAATTCAATTTTATTTCCCCCCCAGAAAAAAAGCCTTTAGCATAATGTTAGCACGTTTTCTAAAAAACATTGTTTGGTTTCCGTGGTATAAGTTTTCTTTTTCGGGTGTTTCCAGTCCTCCTTCGCAGTTTTTGCTCTGAAGAAAAGGACATTTGCTGTGCCACCAACATTCTCAAAAGTTCAAATCCAATGCGTTGACTTGGATTGACTTGTTTTGTACAATCCAAAGACGATGTTGTTTACAAGCTGCTATTTTGAATAGAGTGTACTCGTGACGAGCATTTCCTCTCTACCGTCTTCTATTGGGAAAAGACTTTTCTATTCTGTTACCTTTTGTGCCTGTCTATATTAGATAACATATCACTGTATATCAGTGGCAGTACGTTATGATGACTGTGCCTATTTTTTGTTTTGCAAGCTTTTTAAATTAGATTTTTTTTTTAAAGTGCAAATGGACCGAAGTATGATTGGAGGCTGTTTTATGCCAATAAAGGATAACAAAGTGCCAAATGTATGTTTGTTTTTGGTTTTCCTTCAATGTAACCCAACCATCTACGCCATTGGTGTCAAATTCAAGGCTCCGGGGCCAGAGCCGGCCCGCCAGGTCATATTATGTGGCCCACGAAAGCAAATCACATGTGTCAAATTGCTAAAATCTGTACCGAAATGTCAAATAACGTTGAGATTTGTGCAATAATTTTGTTAACCCTATTTCCACTCATTTGAACAGTAATTATTTTCGTCATTCATTATATTAAACAATTATAATCGACTTGACCGATGTCCAAACTAGTCATCTATTCATTTGTTTTGTGCAAGTAATAATTTTGTGGTTTCACTGTTATAATGGCCCTCCGAGGGAAGATGTAACTCCAAATTGGCTCGCGACTAAAATTAGTTTGACAAACCTGATCTACGCCAATCAATAACCCAAATATTAGGAACCGACATCAGTATAACCAAGCAACACACTAAACTGCAAATAATATAATAAGCGTACTGTTAATCGCTTTAATCTTTTTTTTTTTTTGGTCTTTGTAGCCATTTAAAGCTTATATGTACTATCGTATGTACACATTGCATGTACTGTTCGAGCGTCATGCAGCTCATGGGTGTTCGCTTTCTTCGTGTATTTTTGGGCATCTTTGGAGCCATTTTACGCTTGTGATACCATCATGGGAAAGTTTTCCTGACACATCTAGAATCCAAATCAATCCTGATCATCTCGAGAGCTTCATTATTTGAAGCCATGTGTCATGCGCTGTTGTGACACTTGTGCCATCGCTACATTCGGACGTGTGTAGTGCATTTGTGACCAGTTGCACATTTCATCATAAGCATAATAAGAATCAGACATAAAATATACTGTATCTGGGTTTTTTTTTAGGACACCGATGGTATTCCAGAGGGGGCTATAGCGCCCCCTAGAGCCCATCCCTCTGATAGTAAAGGATTTCGCCTGTGTGTGTAGAAGACAAAAGCTTGTTTCATGGGGCAGCAGTGCCAATGGACTTGTTTGCATGTGAGTGTGTTGATACAGAGAGGCCAGTGGTGGGAAAGGCCACGCCAGAGGTTCTCATCCCGTCTGTGTGTGTGTGTTAAATGAATCCTTTTCCTGCGCTCAAATAGCCCTGACACAACACACGCAGACACAACACGGCATTGTGCCGCTAAGTGAGTGGAGGTGGGAAACAAACGGCGGCCGAAAGAGTCGGCGGCATTTTAAACGGAAGGCAGGCCATGAATCAAAGGCAGACATTTAAATTCATTGAATAATTGACAAATTCGTCGACAGATTCATCAATTATTAAAATAGTGTTGGTTACAGCTGAGAAAATATATTTACCGCCCAAAAAAAAAGAAAAAAACTATTTTATGTTTGAATAGCAAATGTGGTAACGTGTTTTTAAGCTCGGTGAAGATCGACTTATTCTTACACTTGAATGGTAGTCGAGAATGTCAAAATACTACTTTAACCAGTGTCTGTACAGTTCATTCAAGTTGTTTGATGGACACACGTCAACCCTGGAACACATTTTTTCCCCATTCCTATTTGGGTAAAATAATTCATGTAAACAGAACAAATTGAGTTGGACCTTGGAGTTTCCATTGTCCAAATCATTCAACATCGTCCTAAATTTTGACTGTTCGGATCCTTGTGCACAGCTCCAATTTACAGTATAGTGGTTCCTCTACTTACGAACGTGTCTTCATACGAAATTTTCAAGTTACGAAATGCCTCAACGGTAAAATATTGCCTCTTGTTACAAAAGAAATTTCACGAGAAAATATATTTGCCGCCAAAAAAAAGAAAGAAAAAAAACTATTTTATGTATGAATGGTAAATGTGGTAACGTGTTTTTAAGATCGATGAAGATTGACTTATTCTTACACTTGAATGGTAGTCGAGAATGTCAAAATACTACTTTAACTAGTGTTTGTACAGTTCATTCAAGTTGTTTGATGGACACACATCAACCCATTCCTATTTGGGTAAAATAATTCATGTAAACAGAACAAATTGAGTTGGACCTTGGAGTTTCCATTGTCCAAATCATTCAACATCGTCCTAAATTTTGACTGTTCGGATCCATGTGCACAGCTCCAATTTACAGTATAGTGGTTCCTCTACTTACGAACGTGTCTTCATACGAAATTTTCAAGTTACGAAACGCTTCAACAGCAAAATATTGCCTCTTGTTACAAAAGAAATTTCAAGATACGGAAGGTAAAAAAATACAGTATGGGCTGCTACTCGCAGCTCCCACTTTCCTTGACGCAACATACTTCTAACTGCTCTGTCATTGGCTATTATCGATCATCATCCTGGCATCCCATTGGCTAAGAGGGACTTCTACCAAATGTGTCTATGTTATCTAGATAGATAGATGTGAGTCTATGCAGCATCCTCGTCATTCGCCCCCCCGGGCCATAAGGTTCCGATAGTTTTACGTGAATGTGAATCACCCAGATAGTGTTTGTACAGTTCATTCAAGTTGTTTGATGGACACACATCAACCCATTCCTATTTGGGTAAAATAATTCATGTAAACAGAACAAATTGAGTTGGACCTTGGAGTTTCCATTGTCCAAATCATTCAACATCGTCCTAAATTTTGACTGTTCGGATCCTTGTGCACAGCTCCAATTTACAGTATAGTGGTTCCTCTACTTACGAACGTGTCTTCATACGAAATTTTCAAGTTATGAAACGCCTCAACGGGAAAATATTGCCTCTTGTTTTCCGAAAGAAATTTCAAGATACGAAAGGTAAAAATACATTATGGGCTGCTAATCGAAGCTCCGAGTTTCCTGAACGCAACATACTTGTAGCTGCGCTGTCATTGGCTATTATCGATCATCATCCTGGCATCCCATTGGCTAAGAGGGACTTCTACCAAATGTGTCTATGTTATCTAGATAGATAGATGTGAGTCTATGCAGCATCCTCGTCATTCGCCCCCCCGGGCCATAAGGTTCCGATAGTTTTACGTGAATGTGAATCACCCAGAAAGCGTGTTCACCAGACTGGCGATCGCTCGCTATGCTGATGTTTGCCTTGGACATTTTTGAAGGATTGATAAAAGCCGACAAAAGCAAACGTCCTTGGATCAGTTCTTTACCAAGCGCCAGGCAAAAACCACTTCAGAGAGAGAACATGGACTACAGAGGGCAAAAAACGACGAGGACGCAGTTAAAAGTTACATGACCATCATTTTTATTCTTTATTCTTTGTTTTTTACAATATGCACAACTCTCATTTATTGTGCAATAATCTAATTGTAACATGGATTTGTCACATATACAGATGCATTTTTATGCTTTAGAAAACATTTATGTCTGAATTTTGGGGGTGCTTTGATGTGCACAGCTCCAATTTACAGTACAGTGGTTCCTCTACTTATGAACGTGTCTTCATACGAAATTTTCAAGTTACGAAATGCCTCAACGGTAAAATATTGCCTCTTGTTACAAAAGAAATTTCAAGATACGAAAGGTAAAAATACATTATGGGCTGCTAATCGAAGCTCCGAGTTTCCTGAACGCAACATACTTGTAGCTGCGCTGCCATTGGCTATTACCGAGCATCTTCCTGGCATCCCATTGGCTGAGAGGCATTTCTACCGGATGTGTAATGTGTCTATGTGTCTAGGATGGACTACAGAGGGCAAAAAACGACGAGGACGCAGTTAAAAGTTACATGACCATCATTTTTATTCTTTATTCTTTGTTTTTTACAATATGCACAACTCTCATTTATTGTGCAATAATCTAATTGTAACATGGATTTGTCACATATACAGATGCATTTTTATGCTTTAGAAAACATTTATGTCTGAATTTTGGGGGTGCTTTGAACGGATTAGGGCATTTAAAACGCATCTCTACTTACAAACATTTCTACTTAAGAAATTTCTTCCAGAACCAATTCATTTTGTAAGTAGCGGCACCACTGTATAAGGTGTGATGACGGAGTGCGGGGGGTGCGTACCGTCGGGTGGAAAATGAGAAAAAGCACATTCCTGATGTGGAAAACAGCAGCTGGAACAGGTGTGCTTTGACTCGGACAGTCAATGCCTCCCCGCGTGGGTGCACCGAGTGCTGAGTAGTGTCCGCTAACCCTGTGTGTGTGTCATCACTTTGCGAGCTGTACAAGGTGCTTCTTGCAGGGGGGGGCAAAATGCGAGAGTCAGCTTGTGTATGTGTGTGTGTGTGTGTGTCTGTGTGTGTGTGTGTGTGTGTGTGTGTGTGTGTGTGTGTGTGTGTGTGTGTGTGGAGTCCGCAAGGAGGCAGGAAACAGAGGGATCCTGTTTGCAAGTCAAACTCATTGTTCAGCTGATTGCAGCCTCCCCCACCGCCGCCGCCGACACCACCTTCACCCTTCCTCCACTACTACACACTTACACGCAACAAACAAGTCCACTGTAGTGTTTACTTGACTGCGAGCATCATAAACTCTCAAGATAAAGGCCGTCATTGGGATCCGAAGGCCTAACTCTTTAAAGACCTTCAATGGTTGCGTCTTTTTTTTTCCCATTTCAATCCCCGCTTCTGACATGTGCTTGACTCTGCACACATGCTTATTTCCGGCCGAGAAGTGCCGGTGTTGTTTACTTAGGTGCACTTGTCTTATTTTCACATTGAACAGAGACCAAATTTTGCTCTCATGAGCAGCCTTTGCCTCCTGCATGCCCTGCACAGCTGAACAACACAAATTGTGCACATGCACTGCACACACACACACACACACACACACACACACGCACACACACACACTTCCAGTCACACAAATAGGGTGCACGCACACAAACACTTGTTCACTTGCACACGCACGCTGTACCGTGCTCATACATATGCCTGCACACATGCAGACATATACAGTACAAGTCAACACACAGAGCGCACACTTACTGTACCTGCATACCGATTACGGCGCACATGCTCACAAATACGGGGCAAACAAACACAAACACATTTCAGGCAATATAAGTTTTTAAAAAGTGTCAAAAGGCTTCAAAATGGCATCAGAAATGCTTTTGTCTATACTGTATTACACCTTTACTCCCGCCCCCCCCCATACACACACACACACACACACCCAAAATATGCCAGAGGCTTGGAGCGTGCTGAGACATGCGGGAGTAAAGTTGTGAACGTGTGTCATAGTTTGACGTGGAATAACATTAACCATCCGTAAAGGCCGCAAGCACCTGTTACGTTTGCAAACTTCCACCATAAAAAAAAAAATAAAAAAACAAAAGAAAAGAAAAAAGCTT